ATAAAAGATACATTGAAAACATTTAGAATAATTCTCAAAATCAAAAATCAAATCTTTTTACTTGAATCCAAAAAAAACTTTTAATTTGTTTGTCATTAAATGTCCCAGAGTGCTCAAACAAATTGACGAAACCATTTGGGTTCATTGAAAGCCCAAACTTTCCAAACAGTTATTCATATGGGATAAATTGTACATGGGAAATTGCTGCACCTCAGGGTAGCGTTATAAATGTTCAAATAATTTCTGTCAACTTGCAGAGAGTTTCAAGGAATCCCAGATACAGATGTTCAAGTGCTCTGGAGGTTTGACACTAACTTGTTATCGCAATTATAGCGCTAATTCAAAAACATCTAATTCATTTATCATGGTTCACAGTTCAGAAATGGAGATAATAGTCTGATCTCAAAAATGTGTGCCTATAATACGTCATCCATCACTATCAACTCAACTACAAACAAAATGGTTATCATATTGAAATCACCACCGTATCCGATGGAATGGCATGAGAGGACGTCTTCACCTGCATCTTTCCAGTTGTATTATGAATCTGTCGGTCAGTAAATGATGAACTTTATTAACAGTTTATAATCATTTTATATTGCTTCGGGGTAGGAAAGAATTATTATTTAGTCTTATTGATATATTTTTTTGTTTATATTTTGTGATTGTTTTATTTTAAAATATTTCAAATAGAATAAAACATGAATATTTTTAATGGTATTGTACAGCAGTTCGATGATATGTTTGGAATTTTGCATAATTATACTTTGAGCAGGTTTCAACTTTATTTTAATTTATAGGCCTAACACATCCTAATAATAAATTTAATGAAACTTATAAATTGACGACGATTAATGTTACATGTGAATGCAGGTTCACATCAAACATCTGAAATGCGAGTTCAGTATTTGTTTAACATTATTTTCAATTTAGGCTGCATCGGCTTTTACCAAAGTGAAACAGGGAATCTATCAACTCCTTCTTACCCCGTGTATTACAAAAATAATTTGGACTGTCAGTGGTTCATATCTGTAACAAATGGAAAGAGGATCTTATTAACGATAATTGATATTCATATGGAACAGGAAGGGGAATGTAAATACGATTATTTGCAGGTATGTCTAGTTTATATTTTTCTCAAATAAGCTCAATTTCACCATTTAACAACAATTATATGTTTATCAAATTATATTCAGATTTTGAACGGAGGAGAGTTAGATGGGCCAGAAATAGCCAATCTCTGCCACATTCAAAATACAAGTCAAGCAATTACCAGCAGTGGTAACAGCCTGGTCGTCAGGTTCAAATCAGACGAATCAAATTCTGGTAAAGGTTTTTATGCTAACTGGTCAACTGTAGATGAAGGTTTGTTTCATTTGTAACGTGCTTAGTACGAACAGACAAAACGTTTTTAACGTAATATTGCAACCTCCTTCATTGCTCATGTAATTAGAAAAATAAACAATATTTGCATTTCGAGGTAGTTGCTCATACAATTTAGCGACTCTTGCTTGTTGGAGTATGGAGATGAAACATTTTTTGCAAAATGTTTGCATATTATTTGATATGAATGTTTCATTACAGATTATTGACTTTTTGGTCAATTTTCATCAGTCAACTATTTAAAATAGTTTTTTATGGAGAGTGCGTTAAATAATAAATATTGTCTCTAATTGCAAAATTATTTCTGTCAAGTAAAAGAAAATAATGAAGGTATTGATATTTCTTGGAAACAAAAAGCATCAATAATAGCATTAATGATTCAATTGTATCTCGTCAAAAACAGCACCCAGTCGGATGAAGAGATGTTAGCATCTAGCATGGCCTACGAATGTTGCTTTGAAAACTTAAGAGAGTTCAATTGATGGTTGTTGATAAGCTAGAAAAGATAAACTATTCAATACTGAAAGACTACAGCATAAGAAACCTCAGTTGACAACAATTGTCTTGCTGCTGTAAAGTTAGAGATATGCGAAAATGAACAGTTAAGCAAATTAGAATGAGTGGAAGAAAATTTACTGGTTTAGATTATTCGAGTGTTCTCTACGTTAAACAAAGCTGTTATGTAGATGATGCCTTGACAAATCAGTTACACGTGTTGGAAAATGGAAAGGATGAACCGTTGGAAAGGTGAAGCGGTTCCTTGGCGAGTTATCCTTCTTGTTTAGAATATGTTAAGAGGAAAGATGGCTTTTATGACGATTGATAATGTAGAGTAGATTTTAATTAATCTTTTTCTTTTCATCAATGAAGTTTAATTTTCTGCTGCTTATAGGATATCCAACGATCAATGAATGTTAAGTATTGTGATCGTTAAGTAAAACTTTCTTTCTAATTTTTATAAATATAATTACGTAGTGTTTAGTAAGTATTTCTTTTTAATTAATTCAGCGTTTATTTACATATGCGCATATTCTTCCCTTCACTCAAAAATTCTCTCTGTATGACTAACCTTGTTTTGTATTTTGAAAGGATGTGGAGGCGATTTCAGCGCCAAAAAGGCCGATTTAGGCACGATTGATTTGACTAATCAACGTAACATTGAATGTCTCTGGTCGATCTCTGTAAGCAAAGGTTCGCTGGTTAACCTGACTTTCAATGATGTTGACCTCGGTCCGCGATTGTCTTGCAGTCAAAATAATTTGAAGGTTGAAAATTAGTTAACTTTTGTTGTTTCTTTATTTTAATGTTATGAAATTATCACTTAACTCGCACAGTGAATGTTGGAAGTTATTGAAGGAGAACATTTTCATTTATTTATATTCGTTGATCACTTCTTTCGAATCCGTGTTTCATTTTTTTATTTCATTCTTTATTGGATAATTAATTTGCAATGTGTTATTTTTTATATTGTTATACTTTGTAAATTTGTTAAATTTCAGTTGCTTTCTAGTTAAATAACAGAAATAAAATCTATAAAAATCTGAACATGAGGTTTTTCTCAAATTTTCGTAACTTAATATTCTTTTTTGGACATTTTTACTTATAATCTTTTCCTACTGTTTAAACTACTCCTACCTCTTAAATTTTTTAAATTTCTTTTACTACTGTCAATTACAAGTTCGTAAGCTATAGAACGCACTTCAAGAAGCAGTGCTGATTGCTATTTGATTCGTGAATAGGCACCAAATCCTCCATAACCCATTTATCGATCTTGTTATCAAAACAATCGCCCATTTTATCAATCAATCAGTCAATCGTTCAACCACCAACAAACAATAACTAACTAACTTACATTTACCAACTGACTGGACTGACCAACTAACAAACTTATTATTATTATTATTTTTGTTGTTATTATAATTACTATTTAAATTATTTTTATTGAATTATTATATAAATTGAAATTATCTCCATGTCCATTCGAGGTCAGTCACAGTCTCATCTATCAATTCTGGACTACCGTCACATCACATCCCACATGAGCAACGTGATTAAATTTATATACACTGACTATTCAATAACAGTTTCCAACTAACACCGCCAATTCTAGTCAATCGTGAAGTGCTCCAAGGAGATCTCGTGTCCCCATTGCTCTTCAACCTTTGCTTCAACCCCCTAATGAAAGTTGTTGAGAAAACGGAATTCCAACAAGTGGATACATATGGAGGTCAACAGTTAATTTGAAAACAAGAGCATGATTACAATTTGTAGACGACGCGGCGATTATTGCAACAGTACAGAAAGCGCTCAAAAATTAATCGATTTAAATCAGTCATGGTGCAAGTGTTCTTCATTCGGCATGAGAAAACGAAACGGTGTTTACTAACAGTTTTTTTCGGTGCTGTCTATTGACGGCAAACACTTTCCTCAAGTTGACATTGGAGGCCACTTTGTATATCTCGGTAAGTTATACGTCTTCAAAGGAAAATGATCAACTTATTGAAAAAAGTAGCAACTGTTACTGAACTGAAAACAACTGGACACCTTAAATTAAGGATACTTATTACTTAGATATTACTTGCCATCATTGTTTGAGTTTCGCGCCTACGACTTTTCGCTGACCTGGATTGAAATGAACTTGAACTCCTTGGTCACCGAAGCAGTTAGAACATGGCTGTTGTTGCCAATCACAGTTGTCTATCAGAAAGCCCCTATATGTTAAGTGGCTTAAATGTTAGATCACTCAAAAATTTTGCCGAATCTTTAAGAGTGAAACTTCGAAATTACCCGAAGTTAAACGGCAATGAAGAATTAAAATGTTTATGGAGTGAGTCGTACAGTAGCTGCATAAAGATTGACAACTTGTTTCCAGATACTAAAGATATTAAGCATACTCTCAGAATGCTAACGACTTTGCAAAAGAAAACAGAACTAGAACATTGGTTGTCGCTCCGCTGCCAAGGAACAATTTTGAAATCGAATAAAGATCACATTGCCGCGAGCCGAATTGCTCATTGGCCGAAGTTCACTGCAAGCCTTTCAGAGGTTCTTTTCAAATTCGTCAGGAAAAACATCATTCAACAGCTTCCTACGAACACGAATCTATATGGATGGGGAAAATTGTCAACAGTTCTTTGTCCGCTTTGCAATGGTCGGCAAACCATCAAACATGTTCTGTCCAACAGCAACTCAGTGTCAGCCCTGAGTAGATACACTACACGCCACAATAAAATTTTGAAGATAATTGTAGACAAATTAAAGTCATGCACGGGACCAGAAGTTTCAATAATCGCTGACATGGACTGATTTTCGCCCAATGTCGTGCATCGAACTTACTTAACTCAAATCAATGTAAACTGTCTAAATATTCTAATTTGCATAACAATTTACTTGACGATTTTAATCATTTTAAAATAACAATAAACACTTTCAAAATTTGTCTGATCAATTTTATAATTACCTTATTTACTCGACAATATCGTCATCATATGTGATAGAAACATTAACTGAAAGAATCATTTCGAGATTATCTGTACACATTCTGTATAGTATGACGAGCTTCGCAAAATATTTTATAATAAGTTCTATTTTATTCTATTAAATTTTAATTATCATTGACAATAAATTTTTCTTTTTTATGTGTGTTTTATGCTGAAAATAAAAGAACGTTCTCTTATTCTTGTTATTATTACTACCATTTTAATTATTATTATTCAAATTGTTATTATTGTTGTGCAAAAATAGAATACGTTTTGAAATTTCAAAAAACTTATATGCACAGCTGTTATTTACATCTAATTTTAAATTAGAAATTATTAATAGGTTAAAAATAGGCCATTCAAAATACACTCATTCTTGGATAATCAACATAACAAATCCACCAGCATGCAACTTTTGTGATGAAAAACTTTCTGAACAACACTTGGTGGAATGCAAAAACCATGATGATATTCGGAAACGATATCAGATCCCCTCAGATATTGAAAAAATTTTCAAGAGAGAAAACATCAATAATCTAATAACATACTATCTTCAGGAGATAAAAATACTCGACAGAATATAGAAATATTTGAAAAAAACTCAAAAGAACCCTAAGACAATTTTGTTTCAAAAGAAAAAAGGGCGTAAAGATAGCCAGTAGCGCTGAAACGCCGTTAAACTGCATTAATAATAATAATAATAATAATAATAATAAATTAGAAATTTTAAATTGAAAGTAATAAATTTTGAAAATTCATCGTTGAATTTTAAAATTGTTTAGATATCCACAACAAGTGACTTTTCTCAATCGACAGTGACATTATGTTCGATCGTTTCGAAAGAATCAAGGTTATTTGAATCAGATCGAATATGGATGAAACTAAAATACCGACAAGGAGGAAGAATATTCAAAGTTTCATACGAAACTGGTTTGCAGATTTTGTACAATTTAAATTAAAATTTTGAATCATTTTCACACACACTGTTTTTGATTGTTTGATGGTAACATAATTTAAATATACATGCACATATTTATTTGTAAGGTTGTGGTGGAACCGTGAACGTTGATGAGCCAGGTGAGCTGGCATCTCCAGGCTGGCCAAATACTTACGACTCCAACCTCAACTGCAGGTGGATCCTCAAGTCCAGTTTTCTCGACGCCAAAATATCAATAGTTTTCACTCACGTCGATTTGGAAAATGAACCCTGTGTTCATGACTTTATTAGAGTTCACAACAGCTGGCAACGATGGAATGAATCACTACTTCAGCAAATATGTGGAGTTAACTTGCCTCCTATGATAACTTCTGATAGCAATGTTTTGGCTGTTACTTTTGTGACTGATGCTAGTTCTGAGGGCAGAGGGTTCACTTTGAACTATTTTTCTTCTTTGTCAGGTTTTATTACTTTGATTAATTCAGTTTAAAGTAAATTAAAATCGGTAGTCGTTAAATTTATTAAAACGTTCTTAAACTACTTTTCTAATATTTTCCTGTATTTAAATTCTATTCATAAGCTTAACTATGGTAGATATGGTAACTATCAAAAATATTATGCCATAAAGTTTCATAATTAGCGCCTGTTTTCATTTCAACCGCCAGCTTGTGGCGGCAACCTCACCTCACATCGAGGATTCGTCAATAGCCCCCAGTACCCGAGTAATTATCCGACTAAAGCAGAATGTGTGTGGTATATTACAGCTTTAGATGAAAGTTTGATAGAGTTGTCCTTCAAGTGAGCATTTCATCATTTCTATCCTGATATAATCGTTCAATTTTTTATTATTTCGCTAATTTTGGTGATAATGTTCAGAGTAGTATAATGGTACGTTAACGTTTATTAAATGCAGTGATCTTCAGTTGGATGTGGTTGATGAAAAGTGCTCAGGAGACAGAATAGAAGTGGTTGCCGACGGCCTACCGACGATACTTTGCAGACCAGGTGACAAACACTTCGACTCCAACTCTGTTCAGATTTTTACTTAATCTTATAAACGTACTTAATGTTTAAGCATACAACACAAAGCATGTAACATAAATTTACTTGAATGTCACAAATGCCTTGTTCGGTGGGTAGACTTGAAATTGCAACAAAAGAATGTTTTGAATCTACTGAAAACCAATCATTTTAGAGCATGGTTACATTGGACATTGCACCATTGTTATTTGTTTAATAATAATTTTGCAACTGGTGATTGAAACGACCATATTACATTGCAGATTCCTTGCCGATCACCAGCCATAAAAGTATGACCATTCGATTTTTAAGCAACAGCAACAGGACTGCTAAAGGATTTTCTGCTCAATATAAATTCAGTAAGATATATATATATATTATTTATTATTTAGAAAAATCAAACTCTGGCACGTGCAATGGTTATTAAATTATGCAATCAATGAATGGGACAGGACAATAAAAGAATTAAAATCATCATTATTGAACAAATTGAACTGAAATAGAAAATAAAAATAATAGAAACTGCATAGGGCAGGCGTGCCTCTAAGAACATGTGGAATAAGTAACAAACTAAATTGACTCAGAAAAGACAATAAATAATCGAAAAATAAATAAATTGATCATATATTTGTTATACTTAATATTTGTAGAAATGGTGAATAAAATAACAAAGTATTAAAAATAGATGGGAAGTAGATAAATAAACGATTGTTTCAATTGATATGTTTAGTAACAACAAATAAAAAAAATGAATAAATGAATAAACGAAATAAAAAAAAATAAAAAATTAAAGTTGTTTATTAATATAGGTAATGCTTAAACTATTTAAATATTAATGATTGATGATTAGCTTCAGGTGTCTAGGAATGAATGTTTTACCTTGGTGTACAAATTAATGGTAATTGATGAGCTTTTGATTGAAGGCGTATTTGATGATTTCATTAGGTGAGTGAAGTGGAGGAGTGTTGAGGCCTTTATGAGGAAAGTGTTTTTTTAATAAACATTCTTAAGTTGATCTGAAAATTTGACAATTTTATGTCCAGTGGAATGTATCATGAGCAAAGCTATTCATACGCCTTTTCTGTAAACAAAATTTTTAGCTACTTTTCAGTTTATTCACGGTTTGCGATTTTAAATCCAAAAATTAGTTTTATGAGCCTATAAATTTTTAACGATCGAAACGTTATTTTAATTGGAAGATTGTTTGTTACCATCCGTGAACTTTTAATTTAACCTGCCTAATAAACATTACACAGTTCATGGAGGAGATGTAAGACAATACAGTGGAAAAATATTCTCTCCCAATTATCCTCTTCTTTATTTCACCTATATGGATGTTGTGTGGAAGATATATGCTCCTCCTTTATTCTACATACATATATGGTTCAGTAGTTTTGAGTTGGAGGCTCGTGATAATTATAATGATCAATGCTACGATTACCTACAAGTTGGTATTTTTGATTCGATGCTACTTTTTCTCGTTTTGATCTATTTATTGGATCATGATTTTTATGATTTGATTCAATGTTTTTTTTTATATATTTACATGATAGTCTTTTAAAGTTTTCAGTTTTCCGGAATGCATATCTAAATTTACATTGCTTACCAATGTAATTAAAAATATTTAAGAAAGTGGTTTATTATTTTTTTAAAATTAAATATTAATTAAAATTGAAAGTTAAACGATGGTCCGAAGGCTTGTGCTACGACTCCACCTGAATTCACCAACGACACAAATGAGGTGGATGTAATTCTTGTTCACTGTTGACATATTATTATATGTTGATTATCAATTGACTTTTTTTACCCAAATGATGGATTATTTAAAGGTTTTCTGTAATATGTGCTGTTGAAATCTGGGAGTCTGAGTCTGGTGAAAAATATTCGACTCCGATATATATAATTTTATTATAAACAAATAAAAATTACTACTTCTAATGAAACGAAAACTAATTCAGCCGAGCAAATTTCAAAAACTGAAATTCTTAACTTCATAAAATAAATCATCAGACCTTGTTCGAATAGTTTTAAATGAAAATGACATTCAAATAACATCCGGTGGTGATAACCTTCCGATAAAAAATGAGAACCGATGAGCCATTAAAATTATATATCATTATAGATATTAACTTTTTGATGAGTAATTTTAAAAATACCAATAACCCTCTTTATACTTGCTAGGTCACTGTTCGTTTTTTCAGTGATCGATCCAATGTGTATAAAGGATTTGTACTGAATTACAAAAGAGAATATGCGTCACCTGGTACACAATTTTTTTTACCATTTTTAAATTTTTTTTGCATTTCAATAAAGCACTTTTACAATGCATTTCAACTGGAGATAATATTATTATAATGACATGTTTACTTTAGGATACCTGAGATAATTTATTATTTAATGATGCCTGAGAACTTTTCAAAGATATCCGAGATACCTGAGACAGCTTTTTAAAGATACATGAAATATCTCCTCAAAGACACCTGATGTAGCTTGTTAAAATAACTGAAATAAAAATGCTTGTTATAAATAAATTAGATTAAGTTACCAATGAAATCATTCAATAAGATTGTGTTTGTAAACCTTCGTATATTCTGCAGTGAAACTCTAAATAAAATATACTGATGAAAATGAAAGAGACTAAACAACAGTAATAAAAATAATTATTTAGACTGGTAATAAATTTAACATTATTAGCTTTTTTAAATTTTCTTTTTAGTTTTACAATTTGCGAAAACAACTCTTAAAAATACTTTGCTTGAACAGATAAAATTCAAATTGGGCAATATAACAATGATTCACTTTGCGAACGATCGGTGCTAATTGAATCGTTCAAAGAGTCCATTACAATAACCTCTCCAAATTATCCGAATCCCTACAATAAAAATTCATTGTGCATTTGGACAATCGTCTCAAAAGTTGGATTTATTCGCTTGAATTTTGACTACATCAATGTTGAACTCAACAAAGATCTCATTCAAATTTATTCAGGTTTTTGTATTTATTTTATTTGAAAAAAATATTACCTTTACTTTAAGTTTGAATGTTATTTAAAAAATGTTTATATTACAAAAATGCATCCATTAAAAATTGGTCATTCCATCAGTTAAGAGAACAGGTAAGGAGCTGGTTATGTCCATGTGCAGTTCGAGAGATTGCTTGAAAAGAAAGCAAGTGTACGTCAGCAGCGACAAGGCAGAAATACGATTTCAAACTGATAATGACATTGAGTTAGATGGATTCTACATGACCGCTTCTGCGAGTTAGCTCCAACTCTGTTAAAATTATTTATTTTATATAACTTGATGTTATTTTTGACACAATTGTTGAACAGCGTGTGGTGGTCTGTATAGTAGAGAGAGGGACACTATCATTCACCCAGCCGACGATCAGGTCCAATCGGATGAATGCTTATGGTACATCTCCGTTCCTCAAACAAGTGGCCTTAATTTACAATTTCATTATTTCAACGTTGGAGCCAAAATGACCAACTGTAGTTCATCCAGTCGACTTGAGGTTTTTTTTGTCTTAATATTTTTTTATATTTAATAATTTTTAAATTCATATTTGGTAACTTTGAGCTTTTTTCTCTTTGATTGAAAAAACCTTTTGTCCTGCAAAATTTTGATTTTACTATTAAAATCAATTGAAATTACTATTTTATCATAAATCATCGGACTTGTCTGTTTGGTATTCTAGTCTGTTTCGAAATCATTAATTTATGGTTGTTTAGTAACCGCAAGTTCACAACTGTTTTACATTGCAAATCAAGTGAACTTTATATTTTTATTATTTTTCAAGTAATTTTGAATTTTGAGCACCTGCATTCTCTTCTAGATTTATTATTATTGATTTTGATTCAAACTACACCATATCAAAGAAATTTACATTTCACTTACTTGGTTTTAATAGTGTCAAATTACATATGGCCAATATGTCACCCACGGTCTGTTACTGACCCGTACTATCTTGCATCAGCGCAAACACTTTTTTCTAGGCTTGTTCTGTTACTATTTGTTTTCTTGCCAACTCCACAAGTCATTACTTTATATTCTTATTACAAGAATTTATTTCAATTTTTGTTTTTTAATTTTTTGTTCAAAGTTTTTCAAAATTAAAAAGATTCTTTTCTTGTTAATTTTTATATCAATTATTTCAAATAATTGGCTGAATCGTCATGGAATTTTAGAAATGTGCATATATTTGATTGATTGATTGATTGGTTGATTGATAGATTTCAAATAACTTTCCATCGAAACGTTAAATGAAACTATTGTTTGATTGTTTGTTTTCTTTTGCTGTCTGTTCGTTCGTTCGTTTGTTCGTTCGTTCGTTCGTTCGATTATTTGTTTGTGGTTGTTAGTTATGAAACAATTTTTCAGAGTTATTTTCATTCAGTTTGAAATTACTTTTGCTTTTTAATTGATACCTGTAGTTATCCATTTTATGTAATTTAAGTTGTAAATATGATCTCAGATTTACAGAGAGTTGGATGTTCATTACACCGTACCCGACATGTTCTGTGGAGACAATGCCATTGTCAGCTATTTGGGAACGAATCAATTAGTTATTAGACTGGTTCAGATCAACGGTAACATCACAGAATCAAAATTCAAATTGACTTATCATCCCATGTCATTAGCATGTGGACGACATGAGACCATTTATCCTGAAAACCCGACTTATAATATTGCCTGGTCTAGTTTGAATCAACCTGATAGCACGCTGGATTGCATTTGGGTTTTAACGTCAAAGAATTTTTCTACAATTGTCTTGAATTTCAATTCAGAATTTCACGTTCCGAGTTCTTCGTTAGTGTTATATTTTGAAGCTTTTTATCAGTTAATTATGTAATTAATTAATTGATTCATAAATTTATTTCTATTCTTAAAGTATTAGTTATCAACAATTATTCAACCGATAATTTTTTGAAAATCATTCAATGCATGAATTTGAACGTCTTGGATGTTTTCTAGTTTACCTGTTCCCTGCTGTGAAATGCAAAAAAACATGTAGCCCAATCAATGATAATAAATTTGTTTTAATGTTCGTTTGCATGATACTCGTTCGCACGTTTCATATTGATCTCTTTAGAGGAATACACTTGAAGCATCCGTTTCTATATTAATGCACTTATTTTAATTGGATTTTTTTCTCCTGCTAAGACAAACTAACTGTTTTACATTTATAACTAGAAAATTGTTGTTTTATTGATAGCAACAGCACGTGTGACACGGATTTCATTGAGGTAAGGGATGGTCCTTCAGAGTCCTCGACAGTTCTCATCAAGTCATGTGGAGATTCAATTCCGCCACCACTTGTGACCACTGAAAACAGTTTGTACGTACATGTTTATAAGAGCTCTCTCGGCAAGTTGTTTACTGTCAATTGCACAGCTTCACTAAGTTTGTTTGAAACTTCACGTTCAAATATTTAGTTTTGTTTGTTAAAAATTCTCACCACACATTTTTTTAACATTTTTGTTCTAAGATTATAATTTAGTTAAGGTTAAAGTGAAGAAAATTGATTACATGTATAAAAATTAAAATTAGTTTTGTGATCGTCTGACGATTTTTTTGTTTTTTGGAATTTTTCAAAAATGTCAAACTTCATTCAATAAAATTATCAAGAAAAAGACGTGGAATGTTAAAAAATAATAGCAATAAATACTTTTGCCTTTTACGTTGTCAGTAAAAACTGTGTTATCTTAACTTCACAAAATATTTTAATTATTGAGCTATATATTTCAATTTTTTTTATTATTTTTAGTCATTTGTGGTGGAATTTTTTAGTGAAGGAACTTCCACGATGTGAACGTGATAAATTTATGAATGAACCAGGTCCCTGCGGAAGTGTTTTCAGAGATAATTTTCACGCCATCAGCTCTCCGAATTATTTGAACGTTTCTTGCCAGTGGAAGATTATTTTGTCTGAGGATAGATTCATTAAAATTTCAGCTGAATTTGTCAACAATTCTTACGATGAACGAGTTATTCTGAAGGAAGGTGCAGCAAATGGTAAGCTTTAACAGTAGCCGCTAACGTTATTATTTTTTTTATTGCATTTGAATTTTTCAAAAATTTTGTTTAGTTTTTGTTTTTTTTCACACAATTTTAATGAGTAAATGTTTTAATGGCTCTTAGGTAGTATTTTTGGAGAATACCATGAGGGGAAGAATGACGTTTTCGTGTCATCGTCTAATGTTGTTTTTGTCCAGTTCACCTCACATTCTAACGTTACGTCTAACTTTAAATTGTTATATAGTTCCGAAAAACAAAGTTAGTTTTGTTAGTTTTTTTATAATATTTTTTAATTACTTGTTTTTTTTGCTGAATTTTATTATTTGTGACAACGCAACAGTCTGGTATAAGGAACATTCATCTTGCTCTTCAAGTTTCATATTGTTTTTTAAACTTTTTAAATTCTACTATCTGTTCACATTTCTAAACTGTTTAAAAAGCTTGTGTTACTATTACATCGCATCTTATCTTTCTCATCTTGCATTTTTCTGAATATCTCCACAGCCATATCAAAATTTGAAAGTCGCCGATTTTTGCGTGCGGCTCCATAGGTTTGGAATGGCCTTTTGCTTGGACTTAGAAACAGCAAAATTTAATTCAAAACTTTGGCAGAGGCAGTGGGCTCTGAGGGCCCCTGAAGCGAATCAATAAATCGCAAATATTTATTATTTTTATTATCATTAATATTTATTATTAATTTTCAAATTTTTTTTTATTGCAACTTAAATAATTTAATTATTGCCAAACATTTTAAAATTATATATTTTTGTAGCTGAATTTTCTGTTGATTGAAACTTTTTTTGTTTTTTAAATAGCTCCTGGCTTTCATAAAATTTAATTTTTTAATTTTGTTTTTCTTATTTTTAACATTATTTCATCTGATTGACTTTTGCTTAATCACCAGGTTGTGGTGGTACACTGGAAATGGAGAAGGGCGTGTTTACCTCGCCTGGCTACCCCCAGGGGACCAATAGGGCGGTGATGTGCAAGTGGCAAATTATTGCTCCTGAAGGTTCGTCTCTTTTAAAAACCAGTCCATTCGTATTAAGCGTTTAATGTAAATTAATTCATATATCATGTTTTTTCACGATAATTTAAATTGGAGCTTTATATTTGTTATTAATAAACCCATGTTTAATATAAATTGAATTTATTGAAATTAAATGCCATTTTCTTTTTACGTTCAACATTTTTCAGGGATAGAAATTTTATTTCATTTTCATTCGTTTCTTTTTATAGTTCTTAAGGTTCACCTATTTTATAACAGTACTGAATAAAATTTTGAGTTAATAAAAGTCCGTTGGCGTAGATAATGATGTTTTGTCAATGAATTTTACTGGGCAAATTTAATCAACAGAAGTAATTTATTAGACAACTAACCCATAAAAAACATTGACTGCAAAAGTCTACCATTAACTTAACATGGTAATAATGAAATAGAAATAGTTACTAAAAAGTTTTATATTTTTTAGATTATTTTTTATTTCTTTGACGTAACGAGTATGGATCTAACTATTGTTTAGTTGACTTTATATACGTAGAAAGTTAGGAAGAATAAACATTTGATATCAAGTTTTTGTCTATAACCTCAATTTAGAAACTTTTCTAGGTATTAAATTTAATGTACATCATTTTCTTTGCCCATGATTGCTTATTTTTAAGCTCCTCTTTGACGTCATATCTGATCAGCACTCTTAATTCCATATCTGATCAGCACTCTTCATTCCCTATCTGATCAGCACTCTTCATTCCACATCTGATCAGCACTCTTAATTCCATATCTGATCAGCACTCTTCATTCCACATCTGATCAGCACTCTTCATTCCATATCTGATCAGCACTCTTCAGTCCATATCTGATCAGCACTCTTCATTCCACATCTGATCAGCACTCTTCATTCCACATCTGATCAGCACTCTTCATTCCATACAAAAGATAACTTCAGCTCTGATGCGAACCGGGTGACTTTATATACCAAGGTTCATTAATGTATTAAGGGTATATATGTCAAAAGGCTGAATGGACTCACTCGTTTAATTATAAATATTGCAAAATGTTTTGGAAATGTCATAAATATTTGTAAACCGTTGTAAAATTTCTTGGATAAGTCGTAATTTTTCTCGTAAAACCTGTAATTAAATTTTATCATTATAGTGAGTTAGAGAGTCTACCGGTAGAAGAAGAACCAGATGAAGTGAGAATATCACGAAGAAGCCTAACATTACTTTTTTTACGTTTATATTGAAGTTTTTGAAATAGCTCTTGCGCACAATTTTCTTAAAAATGCCTGACACAGACTAGACAGCGTTTTCAGCAAAAATTTTAATTCAGAACGTTATTAATATTACGTTGCAGGTTAAATGTATTGATAAATAGTCTTACTCAAAAATTTTTGTTGTCAAATATAAGAGTCCTACTGGCTTTGTCGGTTCGCTAAACGACCAAAAAGAAAAATGTAAGCTGCACTCACAGAATAAAAGTCAGCCAAGGTTTTTTTGAAGCCATTAAATAAAAAGCCCCATTGTGACCAATAAAAAAAATGACATATACATTTTCATTGATAAATACGACATACCGTAAGCCAACTTTATTCTTGCATGTTTTTAAATATCCACAGTCAAATTAGATTTAACAAACGCAAGTAACGAAATTTCCATTACAGAAATTTTTCTTTTACTTACAAAGCTTAAAGATGTTATCAGCAAATGGGATTGTTAAATAATTTTTCTTTATTTTAACAGGCTATGTTTGTTGATGCTATTACAATTTGAAATGAATTAAGTATGTTTGATGAACATAGTATGATGAATAACATGAATGTTACTAAAATAATTATTAAGATATTTTCAAATAAATCATTTAGGCAAGTCCATTCTCCTGAACATAACTGATTTTCATTTGACACCATTGTTGTATTCTATGGGTTTTGATCAATATATGCAAGTTAGTCATCTTTTATTGAATATTCCGGTTTTGTTTGGAAGATTATTTGTAGAAATATAAAAATGCTGTTCGATTATGTTTAGACAATTCAAATTCATAAAGTCTGTGGTAAATATTAGCCTGTTGAATTCGCTTCTTAGTTGCATTGTTTAATTTTTAGATTCAGCTGAAATGTTTCAAAATTTTCCGACTATCTAAAAAATTAATAAATGTGTTATAAAATTGGAAAAATGTTTTTCAGGTTTTCAACGGTCTTTATGCTGACTCGCCAATTTTTTACAGAGGTCACTTTTTGGATAATAACATTTTCAGATCATCCTCTAACACAATGACAGTAGTTTTTAAATCTGTGTTTAAAATTAGTGGTAGAGGATTCAAGGCGTTTTACACAACATACGATGACAGCGGTTAGCTTTGTTTTATTTCAAACCTTGCAAGCATTTTGAAAGTTTATCATGACCAACTTAATTTTGTTGTATGTCTTAATTTAAATTTTTCTAACACCTCGCTAATGTTAGCTTATTATTTTTTTTAAATTACCTTAGACATGCTTGTAAAATAGAACATCACTAAAAATTAAGGGGTCTTTATTTTTTTACTTTTACAGTTTGTCATCTTGGCCACAATAAAGTTTTGGGCAACATAGTGACCAGGAGATTAGATGGATCTCTCGGTTACGAAAAACAAACAGAGTGTTCATGGATTATTTACAACAGCATTGATAGTTCAAATTCTTCAATGACGTTCCAATTTAACACGCTGTCTATTGAGAGAGATGGCGAGTGCACAATGGATTATGTACAATTTCACGAAGGTTGGTTGGTCATTCATCAAGTCTGCTATTTTTGAGCAGGTCCACTCAGTTTTACTGCAATAGTAGTAAAATCGGCTCGTATTCCGATAGCAATAAAAATAAACAATCGTTTGCTATTTTTTTATAATAAGATATGTCAAACATGTTTTATATCTCTCTCTGTATAGAACATCTGCAATCAAGTTCCTATATTTTCCAATCATTTGTGAATTATTTAATTAACGCGCAGGTACAAGGCCGACAGATCTCTCAATTGGTAAGTTTTGTTCGATGGACCAATTAGATAAAGATCTTCCGGCTATATCATCTGCATCTCGATCCGTTCTAATCCGTTTCCATCAAACATTCTACAACAATTTCCAAGTTGGATTGAACATCACTTATCGCTCATATCGTTAGCTTTAAACAAATTTGTGCGACTAAATATAAATAAATTAACATATTTTATGATTAATTAAAATTACGTTTAGCTTGCGGTGGAATAATTACTCGCTCAACAACCATCACAACTCCTCTAACTATGGGCTGGGATTGCTTGTGGCACGTGAAAGCCGACAGGGAAAACGTTATAAAGGTATGATGTCAATTAAGAATTAAAATGCTGATTGAAACAAAAGTTGTAGTGGCTTCATTTTTTTCATGCAAACCTACATGTTGCTACTTTTTGAAGTCGTCTGAAGTAAAATTATCGATTTTATGAATACATATTTCGAGAAAATTGTTTATTTAGATACCTCACTTCTAATTAGTTTAGAATTTAATATGTGTTCTTTATCAGATATATTAATTGAACCTAAACGCCCCGGTTTACGATCGTCTTCTTCTCGCTTTTTCTTAACTCGTGTTAAACACTCTTTTGCCAAATCTGCTTTTGCTTTTTCTGGTCCTTTTCTCTGGAACTCTCTGCCTACTTCTCTAACTATTTCTTCATCGCTTGCGAAGTTCAGAGCGGATCTCAAGACCCATCTGTTTTCAAAATTCATTGAGGAGCGCTGTTGAACATCGCGGAAATAGCGCTTTATAAGCTAATTGATTGATTGATTTAAAAAACACTGTACAAGTTGGATGTTGTCATAAACTGTATTTTTTACACTGTATTAATTATGTAAAAATATTAAAAATAACTGGAAATTATTTTAATGGCAATTAGAAATAATAAAATTATTTTATTATTGAAAGTTGAAATTTTTTTGGTCAGTAACCGTGGCGCATAACGAAGATTTGTAGTTTTTAAAAATTATAATATACTGTATTGTATGGATTCTACCGAATTGTTGGCATTAATCAATTTAAAGTAAGTCTTATCAATTTTCCTTACTAGAATTTTTTGGAAATTGTTCAATTTATTGAAAATTGAATTATTATCCAACTTTATCGTGATAATTTAATAAAACTGTTGCTATCCAAACTCATCATGCAGATAGGCCTTATATCGATTTTTCACAAATCATCTTCAATGCGGCTTTGGTTTATATAGTTTTTTAGACAATGCAAAGTTAGTTACTTGGCAAAGTGAGTTACTTAATTGGTGTCGTGTTCTTCATCTTCTTTGTTGTTATCATTTCCTTGTTCTTATTTGTTATTAGAACAAATTGATTTCTTCGCTGTCAAGCAACAACACCGAAGGCTATTCAAAAACGTCAAAGTTATACCTGGCGAATCATGTGTCGCCCAACATAGACTTCTTGTGGCAGACCTGGTTGTCGAACTGTCAAAACATAAGTTTAAACAAATGCCTCAGAGAATTAAAACGTGGAAGCTGAAAAGCAATATTCATCGAGAAAAATTTCAACAGATTGTCGCCGCACAGTTAAACCACCAATTGCAAGCCAGTACAGATTGGAGTACATACAAAACCGTTTTGATGAACGCTGCAACTACAGTTTGTGGGAAAACTGGTACGAAACGTCAGCATGAACGGGACACTTGGTGGTGGAATGACAGTGCACAAAATGCAACAGCTGAAAAGAAAGTTGCATACAAGCAATGGCAAAAATCAAAGTATTTTGATGACCATAAAATTTTCCCTGAGAAGAACAACTATGCAAGACGTCAAGTTGCACTGGCTCGGACAGATCAGTGCAGAGAGTGGCTCACTAAAAGCAAAGGTGAACAAATGGAATCTCTGTATTCTATAGCAAAACAAGCAAAGCCTACGAAAAAAAGACAAGTTGGGTCCTTCAGTATCCAAAAATGACAAAAATGAGATGGTTCTTGAACGAGATGAGATCAAGCTACAGTGGAGAGAATACAACCGTCTGTTAAACGAAACAAATCCTATCAATGTTAACATTGACGCTCCACCCATCGAAAGTCCGATTATAGACATCACTGTAGAGTAGCTTACAGAAGCTCTGAAAGCTATGAAGGATGGAAAGGTAGCAGGGCTCTCTGGACTCACAAATGACATTATCAAAGCATTTGGTACTGCAGGTATCCAAACGTTACTACAACTTTGCCATGAAGTGTGGGAAATTGCTCAATGCCGACGAAATAGAACTATAGCATGACAGTTCCGCTATTCAAAAGCAAAGGTGATCTATTGAACTGTTCATCATATCGGGGTATACGTCTGTTAGAACAATATCTTTATTGTTGTCTACAACAGCACATAATTTAGTGTCATCTGCAAATTAAAAATTTTTTGACTTTATTCTTAGATCTATATCATTAACCTATATTACAAATAGCAGAAATCCCAATACGGATCTTTGAGTAACAGGACTCCTGTTAACTTTGCTCCAGTTTGAAAAAATTTTCACCAATACCAATTATCTATGTCTATTTTGTAAACAATTAGAAATCCACTTTAGTGTGTTTCCTGTGATTCCACTTGCCTCTAATTTTAAGACCAAATGCGGTACCTTATCGAAAGCCTTAATAAATTCTAAGTGCACAATATTCACTGCTTTCTTTTTGTCTAAATTTACATAAACCTCTTCAAAATAGTCAAGCAAATTTGTAAAGCACGAACGCTTATCCATAAATCCATGATGGCTCTTGTATATGATATTATTTTTTACCAAGTACCACAATGGTCTTCTTTATTTTTTTTTAAGTACATTAAAATTTTCGTAAAATTTTTATCAAAATACAAGTTTTCGTTGTTAAGTTGATTTTACTGATTGCTTCTAATTTCAGGATTACATTAATATATAATTTGCGGTTAAAAAGAAAAGCTCTAGATTAGTTAGTAGTGGCCAACACCACCAATGGTGAGATTCAGGAGTGAGAAAAAATAAGAAAAATGTCGTTATCTACGGAGTACCATAATCATTTTCTTCAAATCTGACAGATAAAAAGCACATGACGAAACTAAAATTTTCAAGGCTATAAATAAATCTGACGTTTCAGTTGCATACTCAAGAAAATTTAGATCAAAAAACCCAACAAAACCTAGTCCATTGTTGGTTCATCTGCCCAATGCTGCTATCAGGAATACCGTTCTTTTGACAGCAAATGTAAATTAAATTAATTTTGAACATTCTATAAATATGATGCTATAAGAAACCTAGCTTACGAAGATCGTCATGAAAAATTAGTGTCAACAACTTTGGTGGAAAGAAGAAAAAGAAGAGATTTGATCCAATTGCTTAAAACCATGCATAATTTAGACAAAATTGATTTAAATAATTGTTTTAGCATAGTCAAAACCAAAACGAGAGATTACAGTTTGAAATGCTTTAAAGAAAGACATAGAGACAGAGAGAATTACTTATTAGAGTGACAAATACTTGGAACTCACTACCAAATGAACTCGTTGAGGCACAATCGATAAACAGTTTCAAAGCAGGTATTGATTGTTGGATGAACAACAGTCAATAAACGAATCGGCTGTGCTAGTATGTCTGACAGCATGCTCTCTGGATAACCTCTGGAACAGCATTACTACTACTACTGTACATTAGTACTGCACAGGACTGAGAAGAATAAAAGAACTTTGCACACACAAAGAATTGTTAAATCTTGAAATATTCCATTCCTATATAAGCGCTGAAGATGAGTAAAATCGAAATATGGCCGGTATACGCTTCGCCACGAACACCAACGATTTTTTAATTAATTTTAATAAATTGGATAATAATTACAAAATTACTGTAAGAAATTTTTAGCCTTTGAAAGTTTACGATTAAGCTTTCCAATATTTCTAACAGTAATTTTGTAATTATACATTTTATTAAAATTAATTAGAAAATCGTTGGTGTTCATTGTGAAGCGAATATGGGCCATATTACGATTTTACTCATCTTCAGCGCTTATATAGGAATATTTCAAAATTTCACATTTTTTGTATATGCAAAGTTCTTTTATTCTTCTATGTCATGTGCAGTACAACCGAAGTACCGGGCTAATGTGATCAAACCATTTCACACCAACAATGATTCTAGCATCCCTATTCTGAACCGTTTGGAGCATATCAATTTCACCCCTAGCAATTCCATTGAGTAAACCATTACAAAAGTCCAACCTTGGAAGTATAAATGAATGGACGACCGTACACAACCGTACAAAAGGCGTTTTTGTTCAAAAACGCCTTTGCACGATTCAACATACGCAATTGAAATGAACATGATCTAACGATGTTTTGAACATGCATCTTCATAGTTAAGTTTACATCAAATGTAAATCCCAACAACGTCGCTGTTTTAACAAAACCAACATCAGCATCTCCTATTTTGATAGAGTTAACACCAATCCTAGACGTTTGTTGCCAGGTACCAATTGGTATGACCTGAGTTTTATCCTGATTCATTTTTATTCCATTTTGAGCCATTCACACATCAACAGCATTTAACTTCGTAACTTGTCAAATAAATTATTCAACTCACAAACTGGCGAAACAGCAACCAACTGAAATTCATCAGCATAGGCATAACTTTTTGAGTTAAATTCTTTTGTTATATCTAAATCATTAGCTGTATACAGCATAAAAAGAATTATATATATGTATATATATATATAATATATATATATAATTTGAAAGTAACATCTAATTAATTTAAACTTTTTTCAGATACAATTATCTCCATTTTCGTTACTGGATTCCAATCAAGCAAAACTCGGCATCTTGGAAATAAGGAATGGTGCGAGCGGCAAATCTCCAGTGATGTTCAGGGAGTCTAAATTAGTTGACTTTCTTATGAAGAATACAAGCGGTAATGAAGCGCGGATTAGATTTGTTCTCTTCAACACGTCTACTCCAACGAATGTTCAGGCAATAAATATTGTTGTTACAATACAATTTCCCAGTTAGTTTTCATTTTTGTGTTCTTTATATAAGAAGCTCAACAGGTTTTCTTGTTTAGTTTTTTGAGTACTTCCTTCAATAAATGTTTGTTTCTAAATGACTTGCGTTACGTTTTATTTCCACCATCTTTCAACCCAATGTAGGCTCTTTTCAATTATTTTTTTTATTCACTTTCTGTTTTTATTTTACTCGTGAGTTATTTCCCATATCACATAAGTTTAATTTCATTTTATTCCTGTTTTCAATTCGTTGAAGCCTTTTCAAAAGCTTGCAGTTTAACGTTGGGGAAAACATTGCTTTAAATATTTAGTTTGATTGCTGTAATAAATGATGCACCAATTCTTTTTTATCAATTGCTTTGCGGCTTCTGTTTTTTCAGCGTCCTTGTTATTTTGTTTCTGTTATCAAGAAAATATTTGAACGTCTTTTAAACTCTATCATCCATATTATATTCTCGTAAACACATCATCATTATCGTTGAACGGCACATCTTGTTAAAAGTTATCATCGTCCTCATTATGTACTTGCCTGGGAATATTTTATTTCACGTCAATCCTATTCAGTTTGCTCTCATCATCAACTAACCTTTTCTCTGTATCTTCTTCCTTTGCTTTCATTTTCTCAGTTTTTTTTTAACTATCCATCCTTCTTTTCAACATTGCAAAACCCTCACAATCCACGCATCCTTCAGCCCTATAAACTTCACTCCTCAATTATATTTTATGAAAATTTTTGCAAAAATAATTCTTCAAGGTCACATTGGGATGGTTGTACGCGGCAGCATGTTACATGTTGTTTCTGCCTAGCTTTTTTATTTGTTTTAAAACTGTCCAAAAGTCGTTTACACTTGGCGTTGGACTTACTGCTGAACTACCCACTAACACTTCAACGTCAAAACGATGTCATGATAAAATAAATTGTTTTTTTTTAATCTTCATTCCTCATATCCGCATTTTTAATTTTGTTGAATTGCTAATCAGAAACTTTCTTTTGCTAATCGTGTTGCAGCTTAGAAATCTAAACCTTATAAATGCATTCAATTGATTGGTAGGCTGGCTGGCTGGCTGGTCGGTCGGTCGGTTAATTGGTCGGTCAGTCGGTTGATTGGTTGAATGGTTGTTTGATTTATCCACAAAAGACTTCCAGAGACAAAATTTATATATATATATATTCAAAATCAAAAATTTATATATATATATATATATATATATATATATATATATATATATATATATATATATATATATATGCAATTATTGGTGAAAATCACAGCATGTTCGGCTTTAGTTAACTTCCTGTTTCTAACGGTTGATCGTAAATCATTCTCAAGTTTCTTAAATTGAGAATGATTCACGATTAACCGTTTGAACCTCGGTATACACTAAAGCAACAAACAAAGGTTTATGCCTCAATGGAAATAGTGAATGTTGTCAAGCTTATCTAGAGAGCACGATTTCCGCCTTTGTAAACCGAGCCTATACGCACTCTTCTGATATAGGAAGCAGGAGAATCGAACTAGATAGAATTACTAAACTATTTATTAATAATGGATATAAAAATTCCATGATCCAAAACAGAACGCAAAGAACAATAAATCAGCAACGACAACAATGCAACCAACAATAATAACAAAAATAACACAGTAATATATTAGCATGTAGCGTGTGTTATCGTGATTTACGCCTATTTACTTACATGCACTGTGTGTTTGATAATTCCGAAAAATGAGAGAGAATTGTGACAGTAAAACGTTATACCTATTTCATATCGATGTTGATGTGTTCTCCTTATTTATATTTGTAGTTTACCGATGAAAATTATACAGATCGCGTTTGAATTTGTTGAGAAAATTATGTTATGTTTTAAAATTATGTTTTAACTTCTGTTAAATTATGAAGGAAGTTTTTAAATTATAAATTTTTCATTTTATTCATCATCACCTTGTTTTAAAATGTGTACGATATACTGAGCCATTTTAATTACTGTTAAATTTTGTTTAATTTATTTGACAGCTTGCAATGCTGAGTACCACTCTCAAACTGGAATCATTCAAACATCAGACTGGTCAAACTTGAGCCCACTTTTTGAAAGATGCAATTTGATCGTTAAAGTGCAAAATGGATATCACGTCATCCTTAATTTTTCTGACGTATTTTCTTTGAGTTTATGTAATTCCACTTACGATACTTTAACTGTAAGTTTTCTGTTTTAAATTTCAAATTTTTTCATCATCATCAATTGTGATTCAGCGGCGTATGATTGATATAAATATATTTGACCGTACAAAAATGAGTTTATCGTTGTAATTCACGTGAAAGCATATTACCATTTTTTTTTACCAAATACTGGGAAATAAGTTTGGTTGAAATATTTTTTTGACTTTTCAAACCAGGTCAGAACCAGTCAGTCTCTAGTTCTTCTACAATGTTTTTTTTTCAATTTTGCATGTGTTCACCCTGGTTGGCTTTTTCACATGAACGATCCATTTTACTATTTTTCCAAATTTTTCAACGTATTTCTAATAAATTTGTTACGTTTCAGTTAGATTACAACGTTTGATCAACAATTGGCATAATTTGTGAATAAATATTGCGTTGTATTTTTAAAGATTTATCATTGTCTGTAAGGTTACATAACAAAGTCATTAAATCGATTACATGTCAAATGGTGCCACATGCTTTCCACATGCTTTCCATTTTCCACTTTGTCAAACTCTTTTCACCATCTACCACCTACCAACATTGTTCACTCTTCTGTTATAAAATCTTTTACTTTAACTCAAAAACTCAATTTCAAACTCTTAATTTTTCCTTTAATTTTTTCACTTCAGTCTTCCTATCAAATCATCTTCATATAATTTAAGCCATTTGGACATTGAACCAATCGTTTTGTTAGTGTTTGTTTTCAAATCGATGTGTCCATCAGACTTGCTCGTGACCATCACCTTAGTGATTTGCTTGCTTTATCCAAGTCTACTGAACTGCATGGAAGCAACAATTTCATTCAAAATTTTCGACTCTGACTGTAATTTTTTTATTTATCCTTACAAAAGTAGATGCTTCAACACTTCAAATTATCATGTATTTTTTTATAAATTTTATGAAATATATGCTTATTTGTTTTTTAAAAGAACAAATTTGTTTTTTGATTATTCTGTTTCTGCAGTATTTTGTCACTAAAAATTAAAACTTATTTAAATTTCAAAGTTTAAATCAACTTTCAATTTCGACGCTAACTGCTGTATTTATAAGCTTTGGCTGCGTAATGTCAAGTTATTTGATTATTGGGAATCAATTCAAAATCGAAAATTTTCAAACCTTTGTTTCATTTGTTTTTTACATTTTAATTTAGCTTTATTTTAAAAAACCTTTAACTGACTACATTTGGTTCAAATTCCCTCTAATTCAGATAAGATCTGGAAAGTTTTTTGAGAGTTATTGCAGGTCACCTGGTACTATTATTCTGCCGGAAAATGAAGCTCATATTTCATATACCATCGGATCTCCTTCTAGAGGATTTTTTCTCAAGTTTAGCTCTGGTTCGTATCTTTTTTTTGTCGTTATTTCATATCATATTCATTTGTTAAAATATCATTCGATTAAGATAATTTAGTTGGTCAAATATATTTTGTATAGCTCTTATTACAATACCCAGAAAATTGACTTACAGGTGTAATAAAGTTTTTTTCTAATAATTTTTTCAATTTATCTATAATTTATAATCAGTTATTAAGGATATCTAGAATCTTAAAATTGTTTCAATGGGGACATTATGCAAAGCAGTCAATCACTTGCTTATTTTCACCTAACTAACTTCTCGCCGTCCTTGTAAATCATTGTTGCTCAAAAACTTGCCAAGTTTTGAAAAATTAATCAAACCAAGTCAATAAGTAATTTTTTGAATTATCAACATTGCTTTTATGTTGATGGACGTTGTAACCATTACAAATATCTAACAAAGTTTGGGGCTTGCACAAAAAGTGAAAAGTGACAATATTTCAAAACAAAACGGTATTTATTTTTTCTCAAATGATTTTTTGAATGTCACCTAGTGTGCAAGCTCAGGATAGTTTACATTTCCTTATAAGCCTGTACTACACCCAACAGCTAATTCTACATTCAACTGCCTGCTCTATATTTCTTATACATGCTTATTCAACTGATATCTTTTTTATTTTTTAACATAGGCTAAGAATTGTGCCATCCTCGTTATTCTTATCTTATGGAAAATTTTAAACTAACTAGAGACTATTTATCTGTTAATTTTTAAAATCATCATTTTGGTTTTAAAATTTCAATAGTTCACAAAGGATGTTTCAACTTTACTAGGTATAATTTAATGTATTTTTATGTATAGAGTTACACATTTTTTCTGTTCTTAAAAGCTTATAAAAACCAGTTTTTTTTTATAATATCTTACCACAAATTATTCTTGCTTCAAGTTATCTGGTTAATATTAAACTTCCTTACGAGTTGCTTCCTGATTGGTTCATTTGTTGCTCCGTCTCTCTCTCTCTGTTGTTTCAACAAATAGAGGATAGACGGAATTAATTGCATAAAAGCTTTTATTGAAAATACAAAAGTTCTTACACATAATAAGTGTTGCACTCATATGTAATAAGTGTTGTACTCATATGTAATAAGTGTTGCACTCGTGCCGGTTGGATGATAACGTTCGATCAAACATTACTTCTAATTGGTGTGAAAATTTTGTTTGCTATAATTAAAGGGTTCATCATGATGTGTAAGGTTAATAATGTTCAGCAACAATTATAATATTTGACTGTTTTACCAATTATTATTGAAACTTATTAAATAACAACCCAGAATCAACATTTTTAATAAAAGTTCAACTTTATCATTTTTTATGATGTCTGAAATTTTAAAATATTTTTTTTAGGCTGTGGTGCGAATTTTTCAGCAGAATCAGGCGTAATATACTCTCCCGGATATCCGGAAAACTATATCAACAATTTATCCTGCGTTTATTACATAAATGTTGAAAAAATAATTCTGATCAGATACAAAAATGACGAGTTTTTTGTGCCGGAAAGTAGAGTACAAGCGATCTATAATTATAATAGATATCCCAGTTAGTGTTGTTAAACCCAAACCGGACTGGACCGAGCCGAACATTTGGGTGAAATATTAAACAGTTGAAATAAATTGCTTTTTGTTACTTTTTAATAATTATTTTTTTAGTAACTTCGGTTTCCAAAACTTTCAACGATGACAACCCATTATTTTTTAATCACCACGTCAGAGTGGCTTCTTGCTGGAGGTTGTGGCTATTGGACGCGCTAATTGCTGAGATAGAAGTTTTAAAATTTGTCATTGCGGTCGTCTGAGTGCTTGTGACGAATTGGTCCTTTATGGTCCATGTTATTTCTTTTTATGAAAATTATAATTTTTAAATTGTAAAGGGTTAATTTGAAGTTTGTAGTTCTTGATAAATTAATAAACTCGTATTTCTGTCGTTTTAGGGTCGGCTTGGATAGTTCGGAACCTTCGATTCGGTTCAGTTCGGTTTGACAAAGGCTTGGTTCGGTTTGAGCCTTAAGTCGAACCGTGTCGTATCATTACAATCATTAGTTTTGGTAATTTCCTATTGTTTTAATAATTTACGCAACTCACAAATCGTTCCTCACTTAGTTGCAAGTTAAACTGTTTTATTTTTGTAGGTCTCACGAGCACAGCATCATACGCATAAGCCAAAGTTTTATTGCACGGTGGAAATTGCATAATCCGGATCTTTTAGAATCCGGTTTATGCGAATTCAATTATTTCAGAATCGCTTCTTATTAAGTTCAATGAAGTCGGCGTTGTTGTTTTGCATTGATTACATTTTAAAACAACCGCATAACATAACAGTGGTAGTGAAATGTTTTACTAGAAAAAAATTTACCAATCAACAACGTGCGATACATAACACTCTTATTATTTAAACCAATTAAAATACGATCACTTTATGTAAGATTAATAATGGCATGCCTCCCCTGAAAATGATGCTGTTCAGTGTGTGCTCAAGTGAACACCTTTTTTATCCTGCTAACAGAACATTTTCAGATGCTTGGACATGCATCACATTCTACACTTCTTTTCACACGAACAGTACACGCTTGCTGGAATGGCATTCGATTGGAACTGTTAAACAACTAGTAACATTTGTACAAAATTATTTTTTTATTTTTTGGTATATCAAGTTTCATAAGCTCTGACTAACTACTTCTTTGTATTTTCAACAACGACCTTCACCATCTTTTCTTGCATGTCAAAATTTAGCAACTTCGCTGAAGCCTCTCTTCACTGTTTCTTCTATAAATAACGTTGATTAAGTTCTATAAATAACATCGCTCAAATTTTTGGTAATGAGCTGACAAATGTTTACCATTGGCTTGTTAAAATTGATTGTAGCAATCAAAATGAGTTGCATGGTTTTAGGGCCATCAATTTCTACTAACCTTATTAATTTTTGAATTTTCATTAAGCAAATTCCTACCTTTAGAATGTCTTTTTAAACATTTTTAGGCACAGTTATCAGTAACGTAAACTCGTAAAACAAGTTTTTTTGTTGCTAATAAGTGCTATATACAAGTTTAAGTTTAATTTTTATGGTTTTATAATTTGTATAATTTTTCAGTGGCCAAATGTTTTGGGCAGAAAAATGCTTCAAAAGTTTTTCCTAGTTTTTTAAAGTTTTTTAAAATTTTAAATGTAAAAACGTTTTATTGTACAATCTGTTTAAAGTTGAATATTAAACTTTTTAACTGAAGATATCTGAATTCAGACGTAGCAGCTGAATGGTTGAGGGTCTGTCCTGCTTTGCAAAGACTGGGTTCAAGTGCAAAGATATCCCTGCCTATCTTATGTTTTTTTACGCGTGATTTTTACGTTTTGTATGTGCGTCGTTGTTACATCTGAAGCAACTGTATAATAGAGATTGACCTTCAAATTTCAAACATACTGTTTTTAACAAATTTAAATTTGAGTCCATAAGTTTCTTCTTCATCAGACCTCTCAAACCCTCTGTTAACTGTCTCCATTTTTGTTCTCTGAAATATATTATACGACGTTAAATATAAATGGCTTATTGTTGAGTTATAATCCTTTCATATGTTTTAAAGAAGTTTTTTAATTTGTTAAAAGCTAATCCAGTAAATGTAATTTATCTCCAAAACCGCTCACCCACCATATATGCACTTCACTTTCAAGATCTCTTAGAATTTTTCTTACTTTTTAAATCATTCTATCCGACTGGTATGTTTTTTTATATTTTTGAGATTAACATTAGTTATTTACGATTTGTGAGTGTGTAAAAGAAGTTTTATAAATTTTAATCTATACAATATTATGCAGAATATATTTTATTAATTTAAGCGAGGACTTCTTTGTATGGTAGTGGACTGCTGCCTCCACATTACCAAGATATTTACAGTAAGTCAGCATACACAACATAACACTACACAACATTTTCAGTTGCTTAAACATGCATCACATTCTACACTTTTATGTCCTCTGAATACATGCTTGCTGGAATGACATTTTATTGGAACTGTTAAACAACTAGTAGCATTTTTACAAAATATTTTTAAATTTTTTGGTATATTTAGTTTCATAAACTTTCACTAACTACTTCTTTCTATTTTCAACAACGACCTTCACCATCTTTTCCTGCATGTCAAAATTTAGCAACTTCGCTGAAGCTGCTCTTCACTGTTTCTTCTATAAATAACGTTGCTTAAGTTCTATAAATAACATCGCTCAAATTTTTGGTAATGAGCTGACAAATGTTTACCATTGGCTTGTTACAATTGATTGTAGCTAGTGGATAAACCATTAAAAACGAGTTGCGTTCTTTTAGGACCGTCAATCTCTACTAACCTTATTAACATTTGGATTTGCAATAAGCAAATTCTTTCCTTTAGAATGTCTTTTTAAAAATTTGTAGACATAGTTATCAGTAACGTAAAATGGAAAACATGGTTTTTGTTGCTAATAAAAACTATGTACAGGTTTAAGTCTAGTTTTTAATGATTTGATGATTTGTATAATTTCTCAGTGGCCAAATGTTTTTCTAAGTTTTTTCAAATTTTAAATGTGAAAACGTTTTATTGTACAATCTGTTTAAAGTTGAATATTAAACTTTTTAACTAAAGATATCTGAATTCAGACGTAGCAGCTGAATGGTTGAGGGTCTGCCCTGCTTTGCAAAGACTGGGTTCAAGTGCAAAGATATCTCTGCCTATCCTATGCTGCGTATTGTATACGACGCGTGATTTTTACGTTTTGTATGTGCGTCGTTGCTACATCTGAAGCAATCTAATACAATCTAATAGAGATTGACCTTCAAATTTCAAACATACTGTTTTTAACAGATTTAAATTTGAGTCCATAATTCCCTCTTCATCAGACCTCTCAAACCCTCTGTTAACTGTCTCCATTTTGTTCTCTGAAATATATTATACGACGTTAAATATAAATGGCTTATTGTTGAGTTATAATCCTTTCATATGTTTTAAAGAAGTTTTTTAATTTGTCAAAAGCTAATCCAGCAAATGTAATTTATCTCCAAAACCGCTCACCCACCATATATGCACTTCACTTTCAAGATCTCTTAGAATTTTTCTTACTTTTTAAATCATTCTATCCGACTGGTATGTTTTTTTATATTTTTGAGATTAACATTAGTTATTTACACTAGTTTGGTTTGTCTGACAAGAGTTTTTTTAGTATGATATGCCAAATTTTTAAAGTTTAATATCCTACGATTTGTGAGTGTGTAAAAGAAATTTTATAAATTTTATTCTATACAATATTATGCAAAAAATATTTTAATTATTCAAGTGAGAAATTGGAGGTGGCCTCAACCATATCAAGTTACTTACACAAGTAAGTCAGCGTACAGAGTATAGTTTTTTATATCATTTTGTTATTTTTTAATATTTTTGATAAAAAAAGTAAAGATTTTTTGCTCAAGAATTTTAATTTAGAAAGATGAAAATGTTTCAAAAAACATCGAACTCATCTGCTATGTGTAATTTTAACTGTTAACTTGGAATCAGTTTAAAACGATTACATAATTATTATTATTATTATTACGTTAAACAAAGGCGAAGACGAAACGTCCCTGTGCTTTCTCAAAACTAAGACAATTTTAAAACAATAAATTAAATAAACCTATGAGTCTATACTGAATAAAATAATTAATGTTCTTATAATTCAAATAATGTATTAAACCTTGTAAAAAAGATAATAAAAAAACAAATATAAATTAATTAATCACATATCCTAATCCTATTCAAAGCCTTTATTTCGCATCAATGTAGATACATGTCCCAAAGATTATTTACTTGTACAAGAATTATCTGGCGGTCGTTCAGAAAAACTTTGTGGAGTTCAAAATGATGAAAACATGAATGTGCTGAAATTCCAAGGACCTTTGATGTTAAATTTTGTTTCCGACGCATCTTTTAATGATAAAGGTTTCAAAATCCATTACCAGAGCGTCGGTACGTTACATTTAGCATTTTCGATATTCTACATGCATTTGCACAGTTTCAAATGTACTTTCTTGTAAATCATGTGATTGAGTACCACTTACTTAAGAATTTATTGAGAATGATATCTTTTTATTGAGGACTTAATTTTTTTATTTACGCTCTGCAAACGAAATTCATACCGTGTTATAAGTTAATGTTATGGCTGACAGCATCATTACCTCCTCTTAACCACAGATGACTGACTTCATGACTGACCTCGAAACATGTCTAACCTCGACACATGACTGACCTCGTCATGTGGCTGACCTCGACACATGACTGACCTCGACACACGACACATGACTGGCCTCGTCACATGACAGACTTCGTCACATGACTGACCTCGTCACATGACTGATTTCGACATGTTTCTATCATATGTCATACAGTATATTTTTAATTTAATTATGACGTGGCTTTCAAAATTATGATAAAGCACACTCAAATTTTGGCCAAAAAGGGTTTGTCAGCACAAGTCTACGTTTTATTCAAGTCTTTACTTGAATAAAACGTACATTTTAAAATACACGTTTACACACTTTACTTGTAAACAAATTATTTTGTCATACATATATGTTTTAATGTCATTTAAATTATCTTCAGTAGTGCCGAAACATTCTTTAAGCTTTTTATCGCAGCGCAGCACTGAACTTATTCCATGGATAATTTATTTTATTTATATTTTGAGAATTTGCTCATAATTCATTCTTTGGACAGGCGAACATTTTGGCATTGGGTTTTTAAATACAGATTGGATATAAACTGAATTAACAACAAAAACACGATAACAAGTTTTAAAATCTTTAGTTTAATGAAGTATCTATAAATTAAATACATTTTTTGATATTGTTTTTTGCATTTTCAAGCATGCTAGCATGGTTGCTAGCATGCTTGAAAATGACTTCTTTTAATTATTCGTGAGTTTTTACTTAATTGATAATAATTAAACTTCAAGAAATTTTTCATATGATTTCCAAATGCAATGTTAGATTGTGATAAAGTGCTTACAAGTTTCAGCGGTAACATATCGTCACCTCATTATGGCTTTTGGAAGACAGACTTCAACTGCAGATGGGTCATCAACGTCACATCTGAGTATATTTTGAAAATAACGTACGTATTTTATTATTTACACTAAATTGTTGTCCAAATGTTTTTAAGGATATTTAAATGTCTGTAACTGAACAAACATCCACTTACGCTATATTAATATTGCTCACTACTTATGTATAATAATATTTACAGGAATCTACAATAAGGCTTTAATTCAGTTTGTTATTAATTGAATTCAAAAGGTTATTGCTAGCTATGTAGTATAACAAAGTTTCATGGTGGCAAGTTAATGAAGCTAAGTCACAAGTTACAGCATGAAATGTAGCCAATGCGCAAATCCGCTTTGGCTCCTATTCACTACTCCCAGCCAGTCAAGAGTTGATTTTTGGGTACAAACTCCTTACATAAGTGGTGCTTTGCTGCTGAACTTTTCTAAGTTTTAACTTATCATGGATTAACGAATTATGAAATTTTAAAAATTAATAGTTTTTTCATTTCTGCTTCACTTTTTGAATCAGTTATATTAAATAATGATTGCAGATTTACAACGTTTGAAGTTTCTAAGCTTACATCGAGTAAAGTTTATATCAAGGAAAACAATGGTGTCGCTGATACTAAAGTCGATTCATATTCTGGAACGAATCCACCTATATTAAATAGAGCTTACATTTCCTTCTCCAATATCGTGGTTGTTGAACTTGAGAATAAGAAAGATAGTGAAGTAGGATATTTTGCATTAACCTACCAGTCTGTGAAAAGTGTGTACTCAATATTGAATTTGTTATCATGATTGATGTTTCATTTTTTACGGTTGACAATGAAATTTGTTGACCGTTTTTTTGTTTGTCCAGTCCAATTTGGGAGATTCTTTTTTAATTTTGCTTTTTAGAAATTTAATCTAGTCTATTTTCAAAATTGAATTATAAACATTTCAGAATGTGGAAATGATATAACAAACTTTGAAGGAATATTAGAAAATAACGTAACGTCTGATGGATTTTTCGAACCAAACTTATATTGTGAGTGGAACTTTAAAGCCCCTTCTGGCTACACGTGGAACTTGACTTTCCAGTACATTGACATGTCTCTTGACGTTCCATCAGAATGTATTAATAAATTGGAGGTTGACCAACTGATTTATATTCTCTTTTTTCTCTTTCTCTATCTCTCTCTTTTTCTTTCTATATTTATTTTCACTTTTTTATTTGCTTATTCTATTTATTTTTTCTATGTAGTTATTCCACTTAATATCTTGGAAAATGTTGAAGCTGTTGATATAATAGCGTTAATAAAATATGCTATCAAAGGAACACTTTTAGCATGGCAATGCATTGTGTTTTGTGTTTTTTTTAAAGTAAATGTATGTATTAATGTTTAAATTATTTTGGGGTTTAAATTCTCTTGCAGTTGTATGAAAACGTCGTCAGTTTCAACCCGACTTACACGTTTTGTCAAAGATCAACAAAGGTGGCATATCGGTCAGATAATAATTTATATAAGATAGTCTTTTCAACTTCTGAAAAATCGGAACACAGAAGAAAAGGCTTTAGGCTCATTTACAAAATGCTCAATTGTTAGTTATACTCTTGTAGTTATTTCTTTTGCTTGGTTCTTACTTCTTAATATATGAATTTCAATTTAGGACATGATGAATTTTTAACTATCTATATTCCTTAGTTTACGTGATTTCATTTCCTACATTTATTTTTCTTACATTTTTATTTGGTATGATTTGGCAAAATAAAATATGAAATGTACGAATTTGAATAACTAAAACTCACTACAGCGCTCGTAGACCTAGCCAGGGTTTTGTTTCGGAGGGTTCAAACAAATTCTTATTCTTTATTCCTTAAAAATTTTAAATATTTTGGTAATAAATAATCATAATAATGTTCCATTTTCTGAAACTATTTTCAAATTTGTAAAATTTGATATAAATGTTTTTTTCAAGAGAATAAGAAAGGATAACGTGACTCGCAAATGTTGATATTAACTAAAAGTTCAATTTTAGTTGAATCAGCATCGTAGTATCGTAATAATTTTGCTACATTACAAGCCGCGATTGACAGCAAATTTTAAAATTTTGTTTGCAGTTTCGTGTGGTGGGACACTGAATGCTACCTCAACCAATCAGACGTTCACATCTCCCAACTTCCCCTTGCCGTACGAGACCGGCGTCACTTGCAGATGGCTCATAAAAGGATTCAAAGAACAAAATGTTATAATCTTCTTCAACACGTTTCAGCTCTTGAAAACGGATTTGTGCAGAGATGAATCTCTATCCATCATTAATGTTAATTTGTTATTATTATTTTATTATTATTTACTTTTGAGTTTAAATTTATTTTTTGTAACGGTTTAAGCATTAAATAAAGTTATACGCTAAAATATGGTTTATGTTCTCTATGATAAGCTTTTCATAAACCTTTCATATTAAATGATTTGACCAAAATCTTTTTGCTCAATCTTTAACAATAATTTACATACAATGTGAACCGACAATTTGTATGTGCAAATTGCTCATTTTTCATTACTTAACTTTTATTTTAATAATAAATAAACGATTTAATAGATAGTGTTTTAATTAGTACATGCATCCATGTCTTCAAGTAAATTTCATCATATGAACTTTACGCATTCAGTTGCGAAATCTCAATAAAATTTCAGATTGATAATTCTGAAAAATTATTATGCGGTGAATCGACAACTTTGCCATCGTTCAAGTCTGTCGACGAACATCTCACGATTCTTTTCAAATCTGTCATAAGGGAGGAAAATAATCTAAAGGGCTTCAACATAACTTATGCGGTGACAGGTCTGTCTATTATTCAATTTATTAATATGGGACTGACATTCAAATTTTTATTGTCATTAATAGATTGTGAATATGTTAGGGTTAGAATTGAGGAGAGAAATAAATGTTGCCAACCAGCCAAAATTATAATTTTTTATCATTATTGCTCCACCTGTCCATCCCCAAATCTAGCCCTTCCATGCAATCGTGTCTCGTTAAGTATGGATGTTAGTGGAAGCTGCATGCATGTTACGTGCTTTTGTTTAGTTTTTATAGTGTTGCTTTGCGAGATTGTTCAGCCAAAAGTTTTGGTTTTAAAAAAATAAATGTCTTCAACGAGTTTAATTTTAACTTTTTCGTCATTCAAAATCCAATTTAATTTCTAATTTATTATACTGAATAAACAGTTTTAACAGTATGTAACAACTAATAAATTTCTGAATATAATTGAAAAAATTGGCTCAAATTTAATAGGAATTTATTTATTATTATTTATTTTTTATAACGTTATTTATTCTTCACAATAATTTTTATACTGCCGTACTTATCTTAATGTAACATATTTTGTGGTAATAGTTCTTCAGTCTTATTATGCAAAAATAGTTTAAAAAATACTATGTAATTTCTAGTTCATACAATTTTATTACCACCCTTTGTCTTAATTGCATTCAATTTAAATCAAATGTCCGCAAGTTAGCAGCTGGTAAGTCAAAATAAATTCATTCAAGTATTTTTATTAATGGACTCAAAATATGGGATGAAATATTTACCCGCAGCTATCAAAAGTACTTAAAATTTTATTTTATTTTAAAATCTTTAAAACACTTTATTAAATATTATGAATCACTTTAACACTCTATTTTATTATGCATTTCGTTATTTTTTCATCATTTTGTTACTCTTTGAATCAGTATGGTTCCCTTGATTAAACATTGTTATTCTTATCTTGATCAATCAACAAGTCAACAGCTTCAATTATCTCTGATTACCTCAGGTTGTAAATGTGATATGGATATCAAAAGAGGGATAGCTATGGTGAAAGATGAATATTCTAAAATGAAAAACATTTTCACTAACAGTAAAATCAGAATATCAACAAAATCAAAATTGTTAGGGTGTTATATTTTTCCTGTGCTAACTTACGGCTCTGAGTCCTGGACAATTTCTAAAGAAATGGAAAAAAAGATTAATGCTGCAAAGAGATGTGGTTTTTGGGTAGAGTTATGAAAATTTGTTGAACCTCTCATACTTCGAACGAGGATGCATTAAAACAGTCCGGTTATGAAAAGAGGAAATTACTACAGATAATCCGACGGGGGCAGTTAAAGTTTTTTGGTCACATCATGTGGAAGGAAAGAATGGAAAATCTAACACTTACTGGGAAAATTGCAGAATAAAAAGATCGGGGTCAACAACGAATAACTTTCGTGAAGTCCTTGTGTTGTTTGTTGAATATCTCCACATTTCAAGTACTACAATGTGTTAAAGATCGGGTTTTGTGAAGGTTAATGCTCGCCAATGTCCTGAAAGGATAAGGCACGAGAAAAAAAGAAAAAAAAAAGAGAGATTCTCATTTACGCGTTTATTATTTCCGTTTTAATCGCCTTATCTGTTTTAGATGTCTGTAATTTCTGTTCTGTATTAAGTTTGTGTTGAATTTGTTATAATTTTCAAATTCTCACAATGGCCCACATAAGAATATTTATTTATTTATTGTCTTATATCGGTCCCCGAAAATCAGCTAAATTCCAGTTACATTTCATTACTTTTTTGTTGTTTTTTTTTAATTTTGAATAAATAAACAACTATTTGAATTTGTTGGAATTTTTACTGCATTATTTTATTACGCTTTTGCATGTTATTTAATTTATAGTTTATTTAATTTTTCATCTGTTATTATTTTGGTCATCAATTTTAAAGTTTGAATATAGAAATATTTTTTTTGCCTAGGCTGCTCACAAGAATTTAGAGCTATGACAGGCCGTATCACAAGTCCTAACTACCCTAAGGAACATAGAGGAAACCACAACTGCAATTATAAGATTTTGGCTCCTAGCGGCACCAAGCTATCTCTTTTCTTTACGGACTTTAAATTAGAAGATGATTTTAGGTGCGAATTCGATTACCTGACTGTTAGTACATTTTTTTTAATTATTTAAAACCATTTCAGTGAATACATTGCATTGATTTTAGGTAACTGACTCATCGAACCGTCAAATCAAGAAGCTTTGTGGGTTTTATAAGCCGGGACCTTTATTCTTAACAGATAACATTGCTTCCTTGAATTTTCAGACAGACGACCAAGATCATTTTGGGGGATTTGACCTAACTTACATAGCATCGCACGGCGGTGATAATTTTTTACTATTTCAAAATATTTTCCCACCTTTATCATTTTTATTGATTTCTGTTTCTGCTATCACAACTGCACATCAAGAAATTTTAGTTTAAATTTATTTTTTTCATTTTGACTACGCTTTTGAATATGAATAACTTGTTTAATTTTTGAATTTTCCAATTTTCGCACGAGGCGAAGCTTTATATTTGTTACTATTTATACTTGTTACTGAGACAATTTCATTTGATGACCTGATAAGCTATCAAATGTGTGATTTTTTAGGCTGCGGTGGTACGTTACAAGAACTAAAGGGCTTGTTCACCAGTCCCAATTATCCAAACCCTCCCTCTACTGCGTACACCTGCTTGTGGAAAATAATTCTACCCGCAAATTACAAATTCAGAATGTATTTGGAAATAACACCAACAACAGCTTCTTTGAAAGACTGCATTCTAGAACACAGTCAGCTGACAATTTATGATGGTCCTTCCGAACTTGCTTCTCACAATTCTTATTGTAAACCGGTGAGTCATTTCTTCGTACATTACCCACTTATTCATTGAAATAATTGAATCTAGCTTATTTATTGATATTAATTTTAAAAATTTAATCAGGAAGCTAACAAAACTTTAAACATCCTAAAAGACACTATCCTAATTAAATATACGAGCACCAATTCAACGGATGAGAACATTGTTTTTCAGCTATTGTACGAAGGCTCATTGCACTTCCACATTAACAACAATAACAACAACTACATCACAAACTTCAACATCTACAGCAACGCTCCAGTTGAAGGCGGCAACAGTTACTCAACGGCTCCAACTCCACTATCTGATGATCCTCATGACGGAGACGACAGTGGTGATGACGATGATTTGTTTTAAAACAACGTTCTTTCACTAAATATTTTTGAATATGATTTTCAAAAAACTTTTTTAAACTTTGCGACAAAATTAATTTACTTTTATTGTTTGTTTTTTGTACATTTAAGATTTGGTAAAAAAAAAATGCGATCGTCCTAGCCTGGTCTTGATCGTGTTTTTTCTTGAAAAATTAAGGTCTGCAACGCGCATTAACTGTTGCAACAGGAGAGATGAATTGTGCAGAGTAGTGCAACGTAAAAAAAGTTGTTGAGTTAAAAAACGATATGGATGGGATTATATTTATAAAAACAAATCATGCTATAATTAAAATAGTTAATCTAAATTACAATATTATGATGATAATTCACTGAAAATTTTATATCTATTTTTATAAGCTTAAAAGTTTTCAACTTCGACGTACAATTAAATTATAACATGTTTATTTCACAGCTCGCCGTACAATTGTATTTGATCCAATAAATAATCGATATCTTCCTCTGAAGAAGCTGGATTGCTTATGATCATTCGAAAAAAGTTTGGTTTATCTCCCAATGGTTGATATCCTATCATTGTTTTTCCCTTTTCCATCATCACTGCTTTCACTTTTGGTGCGATCTTTACAAAATGAAAAAACAGGAGATAAAATTTAAAAATCGTGTTGTATACAGTGGCGGTTCTAGGGGTCCTTTGAATTGATAAGCAAAAAAAGTATCGCCAACGTAATTTGGTAATTTTGTGGCCTTCCCGTCCAAATTTTAATATTTTTAAAATTGCCTGCTGTCAAAGTTGTCCAGATCCGCCGCTGGTTGTATACAAACTTACCGTCGATAGCTTATCATCTCTCTCCGCACCCGGCGGCAAATGTCTCAGTCTTTGAGGTACGTACCAAAAGCATATGTTCAAAAATTCAGGCTTGATGAACATGGAATGGATTAATATATGGTGCATTATTTTTCATTCCATCACACGTGATTTCAGCAAATTATGTGCAATATTGAGCAGCTTGGTGGCCTAGTGGATAAGATCGCTTGGTGCTATTTCGTAGTGCGTGCTGTGACCGAGTTCAAATATGACAAAAAGATTTTTCTAAACCTAGAAAGTTTGTAATAGACCTTTTTTGAATCTTTAATATCTACTCGTGTGCGTGTGTGCAAGTGTTTGACTTGCACTAGTTTAATCTGAATTTAGTCTGACAAACAAATAGCGTCCGCATAATTGCTAATTTCAAAAACAATGTTCCGTTGAATCAATTGGTGGGATATAGTCCAGCTTGGATATCTGATTTTAGGCTTTTACTCCGTTTTGACATGCCTCTAACGTTGTCTGCAAGCAAAGTTCAACACTTATCACGTCTGGCGAAGTACATATACTGGATGTACATTATACATCGTGTGGCAAAATAAATTTTTTACGAAACGGTTTGAAAGCAGCTCTGGCGTTTGTTATGATTATATAAAACAGGATACAAAATTGATATATAAAGAAAATTTATTAATTATTATTATCATAAAGATAAGGAGACCTCTTCTAGCACAAGTTCAAATCCTGGTCTAACGCTTATTTGTCCTTGCATATATCTGAAAAATAATGAAATTGCAGTAAAAAAAAGTTTGAGTAACTCTTACTTCATGGTTGAACGTCCGACATTCTGAATAACTTCGGGCAGGTCTGTTTCTTTCAAAATTTCTCTTAACCAGAGTCCCCCTAATCTTTGTATTTCCAAATTTTTTAACAATTTTTGTCAGTTGAACAAACATTTATTTTTTAATTTTTTTGCTAAGGATTTGAAGTTTAAAGATTTGATTCGACAATTTTTCATTTAAAACACCGAAAAATTTGGCAATTATACTTAGGTTGACACCTAACCATTTACTTCAACTTCTAATACTTTGCTTTGAAGCATGAATATTTTTTACTACAAGAGCGTATTCACGCAAACACTTTAAATTTCTATTTTGTAAAATAATTCATTAACACATTTTCTAATTGAATCGATTTTTAATTTATTAGTCTGTTCCGATAAGGTAGACAATTGGAAGCTTCTGATGCTAATGATCCACATATTATTTATGATTTTTTTTCTAAATATTTTTTTGTGAGCCGGTCAATTTGAGCATTGGTTCAATGATTTTTCAGTTTTGTATTCTCATGCTTCAAATTTACTACAAATTTTTTTTTTGACGAAATCGATTACTTTTTTGCACGCTCCATTATTTCATTCTTTAAAATGTTTCTAATGTCGTCAATTACAATGTAGGTTCTCTTTGTAAGTTTTCTATGTAATGGAATCTCTGCTATATACATGCATGAAAATGTGTTGTACATGTGTGGAGTGATGATGATGGTAATGGAAAGCGAAGAAATCGTATCGCATGGACCGTATGATTGGTGTGACTATTTTAATTATAATTAACAAACCTTAACCTAATACAATTGAGAAATTTGTATGGTGCACACTGGATCTACACGGCTGTTTCCAAATGAAGAAAAAAGTAAAACAAACAGATTGTGAACAGATCGGTAATAAAAGCTATTTAAAAGATATCGAGCAATGGTATTAGGCTCCAGTCGGATATCTTTTTTAACTATCTTAAACTGTGCCTCTGAAAAAATGACTTGCGTGAACTTATCTGTTAGAAAATGTTTAAATTGTTGACTTTGTTTAGTGTTAAAATAATTTCCATGAGTTATTTTTAAGTGAAGACATAGCTTCAATGGCTTGTTGTGTTAACAGCGTTAAAGTTGCTTCAGAGTATGTATGCCAAGAAGTAAATAAAAAAAAAGTTGCAAAATAGTTTGAAAAAATTTACCTTCTTTTTTATCTTAGTTAACTGTTTTTAAAAATAAGTTTGTTACTATTAATTAAACTATTTGTTTTTAGTTGAAAAGAAGTTATAGTCTATTTACAAATATTTAGTTGGTTACCCACCACTGATGGCTCATTGAATCGTTGATTTTATAACTAAAATATTACCAAATGAAATCAAGATTGTATGTAATATTAACAAAAGTTGATGTAAATGAAATTAATCATTTGAAACCTTGATAATATCATCAAACTATCAATTTGATTTTCCAGCAATCTGCTCCCTTTAGCTTTCCATGATAACCACAGTTTTAAAATATCATTATGTCTTGAGGCTTGCATTGTTCTATCATCTAAGAATTCATCTCCAGCCAATATTCCAAGGTCTCGAGTCACCGAATTGCATCCCATCAAAAAATTCTATTGCGGAATTTAAAATTTTCTACAAAGCTTTAATTTTATTGTTTCATATAATATTAGCCAAACTTTTTCTCTAACGAGAAAAGCAGAGCATTGTAGGGGTATACCCATAAGCTTGTGCGGATTCCATGTAACAGAATGAGCTCTTCAGTAAAATATTTTTTTGATGAAGATCATTTTTTTAGATGCGCGTAAAAACAAACAACCTGTGAATTCCGTGTAGCAGGTGTCGATGAGTTTTTGAAAGCAACAAACCCCCGCCCCAAGCGGCCTAAGGTTGTGGATTGTGGATGATTGATAATGAATGGGTGACTAACTACTTTTTCTAAAAAAATTATTTGATAACAATTGCTAGATAAGTAATAAGTAATCAGCTTCTCTTGTTGAAATACTAGATGAGGAAACATACATCAACATGAAACCATAAACCAAATTCTTCGCACAAGTTGGCAATCTCATGTAAAGGATCAAAAGCACCCAAAACTGTCGTCCCGCTGGTTGCTGAGACTAGGAATGCTTTTTTGTTAGCTTCTATGCAAGAAAGTATTTTCAGTCGCAGGTCGCCTGGCATCATCTTCCCTCTACGGCAAAATAAATTAGCTTTCAAGCATTTATTACAACATCGTTTCATTTCTACCTGTCATCAGATTTGATTAGAACAACATTTTCTCTACCTATTCCCAGTAGCATTCCCGCTCTTTTTATTGAAAAATGACTCTTTAAGATTAAATATCACTTGTCAATGATTTTACAAAAATTTAAAATTTGTGCCGAAAGCAAATAAAATCTTACAAACTTGGTCTGAAGTGAACAAAACTAAAGGTTTCTCGTTAGATAATCCGTTAAACTTCAATTTGGGAAAGATAAATTGCATGCAAAAAGAAACGCTGTACAAATTTGACATGGTTCCACCTAATTTTGGAAATGGTTTCACTTGTAAAAAAAAATATTTTTGCAGCATAAAAAGTACCTGGTGTCAAAATTCCAGCACCATTCTTCCAACCTATTAATGAACACATTTTTCTAAGAACTACTTCTTCCATGTAAACATATACGGGAGCTTCTATTTGACATGCACTTGGACGTATATAATTTCATTAATTTTATTAAATTTTAAGTTATGTAAATATTGATAGCAAATCAGCACTTACATGCTGACATTCGTGACGGCAGTAATCCATTCACCAGCCAGTCCTACCACATCAAGACCTTGCGAAATTTGATTGAAAAATTTGGGATGGCCTGCAGTGAAATAAGCGTTACGGTGAAATACATAAAAAAAATTTGTTATTTGTTGCAGTGAGTGACTGGGTTCGAATGCAAGTAATCTCCGCCTAGGCTGTGCGTCTTTGTGTTTTGTTGATATCTTTAAGATATAGGAAAGAAAATGAATAATAATAGTAATAATAATGGCTGAAGTTAGAATTTTTATGAAGAAATGTTTGCATACATATATATAGTTGAATTAATAATAGAAGTTATTTACTTATATTTTTGTTTATATTTTTTTTGTTTGATCTTTATGTATGAACAGAATTCATGTACATTGTTGATGTGTTAAAATTTTATAGTTAATTTTGTGTCGCGGGCATAGGGACATTTTGTCTTCGCCCATGTTTTTTTCTCATAATAATAATATTAATATTAACATCTTTTAATGAAAACCTACATTGAAAAATGAAAATAAAATAATAATTGTTAATTAAAATTTAATTAAAAAAAGAACTAATACAAGTCTTCCAGTCCGTCAAAGTATTACCTACAAAGCTTGTTGACTCAACAACACTCCCATTCCTCTTACTCTCACAAACTTATTCATATGGGATGGCATACGCTCGGGCCTTAATTGTCGTAGAAACATCAAGCGTCTTTTAAATTAGGCACAGTATTTAACAATATTAAACCCAATAGTAATAATAATAACAATTAGTCTTTAAAAATAGATTTTTGTTTGTTCCCTGTTTCCTTTTTCATTTTTATAATCAATGTTTGAAAATTTGACATCTAACATTAATTTATGGACATTCGTATTTAATTTTTTTTACAAATTTTATTTTGTTACCCAAGTTAATTTCAATATATAAAATATATCTTGCCGTCGTCAAAAAATATGTTTATTCTTCCTAAACAGATTTTTTCATAGAGTAACTTTAAAATAAATTTATTTCTTTTGAAACCTGTTTCGAAATTTAAAAAAAAATGGAAAAACGTTTTGCAAGACAAACATCCAAAAAAACTGCAAAAGTGATGCGACAGCTTGCACTTTCTCACGGCGAAGCGGTGATTTAAATGGATTTTAACGGAGAAAAATGATTTAAGAATTTGATTAAACAGGCAACTGCGTAAAACAGCTGATACGTTTCCGTTGTTTTTGTTTGTTTGTCTTTTTATTTAAACTTTCTTATTGGAATATTCTTTTTTATAATGAAAGTTATTATTATTATATGTAGATTGTAGAGTTTATATTCAAATAGTCATGACGCTTTAAAACTAGTTATGCCACAAAGACTGAACTTACTACACCGCACGATGTACACACGACATTACGCACGCGCAAGTACCACAGTAGTTTTTCAGTTTTGTACAGGCAGTAACAGTATTCGAACCAGGCTGTCGCGCAACCGCACAAGACATAGTATTTTTACGAATTGAGCTACTCGCTTTAATGCAAACAGTCATTAAACTGCCGGGCTGATTGAGAGAGTGAGGTCAAAAGGTTTTAATAAAATAAGAGCAACATCTTGCTTCGTGCAATTTTTTCATCCGACCCTCGACCCTCTTGAAATTAATTTATAAATGATTTCAAATGGGGAAAATGCAAAACGAAATTATAAAAGGAGTGTGATCAAATTGTTATAGGCTTATCTAACTGCGTGCGAGATCACATTTGTAAAACCTAAAAAGTTATATACACCAAGGTATATATATATATATATATATATATATATATATATGTTGGTAATAGACCATAATTTTGACAATATTCTATAAATTCTACCGATTAACTTCTAATTCTCGAGAGAGATCGGTAGAATTTATGGAATATTGTGAATATATGTATATATATACACACACACACACACACACACACATATATATATATATATATATATATATATATATATATATATATATATATATATATATATATATATATATATATATATATGCTCGGTTGTATGGTTTTGACATTCGGTCATAAATAAAAAAAGTTTTACGGAACTTTGCAAAATTGTTTGGTTCACATTCGATGGCTATTACAGTGTCAAGTTTTTTAAGTTTGTGCAACCTATTGCAGGCTGATGATTGTTTATGAGAAAACATTAATTGCCAAAAGAGATCATTGATGATTTGTAAACGTTTAACAATAAATTTGAATTTTTTAATATTTTGTTCACAAGCCTGATTTAATTCCGCAATAAATACGAAACATCTCAAAATTGTCAGGATAAACAAAACTTTAAACTTCCGGTATGGTCGAATTTACACACTCAAGTTGTGATGCTTCAAAAAATTGAAAAATCTAATCTGAGCAGCCACCCGTCGTCATGCATCATGTCCACCACGAATCACCGTGCCGTATACGCCACTCTCTTCTTTTCACTGTTCCCGCCAGCACCCAACAGTTCTGGCTGGCTAAAAACAATGAGGGTAACTTAGTTTTTAAATACACCGAGAACAATTTCAACAAGATCATTAATCTTTTCAAAAAAGGTATGAAGACATCTTAGATGGGCAATCGCCATTTACAACCATGCTGATGAATGCAGAAATCGCGCTGATAAGATGAAAAAAATTTGTTTGTGCTACTGCGTCAGTTGATGGAAACTGCATAGCATTCCTGATTTATTGCTTTTTTCAATTTTGTATTTTAAAAATTAATCAAATTTTGAATTGATCAGTTTAAATTTTGTTGATTTAATTTTTTCAAATCTGATAACCCGCTTATGGAGATCAGCCATTTTTTCAGTCCACCAAAAAGTCAATCTGTAGTTTAAATAGTTAATTTGTTTAAACAATAACAGCATTCTGGGTTAAATAAAAGCGAAACTTTCCAAATCTTCAACTAACCAGTGAAAAAATCGGGCGAAAAAAAATGAAGTAAATCTTTGACATAACTGCAAGGGTGGCTCGTTATAGCAATGATTATTATACACTAAAAATCTCTGAATCCTTGTTCATCATTAAATTTGAGCTAATAATAAATATTCAACAAAACATCACAAATATTCTGCCAAAAAAATCATATAATCAACTTCGATAAAATCGGTAACTGAATGAAAATGATCAAGGATGGTTTTCGCCTCAATTAAAATACACTGATGATCGAGAGATTATACTGAAAATAAGCTTAATTTATAATATCTACAAAGTTATTTATCTGATAAGGACTGAAAAAGGTTGCTTTTGTTTGGTAATCAATTTTTCTAAATAAAATTATTTTTGTTTTTATTTGTAATTGGAAAAATAGCAACAAAGGTACCTGTTTTTACGCAATATTTCAAAATCTGTTGGCAGTTTTTTAGAGTTTGACTGAGATTTTGTGGTTGAGACTCGAGAAACAAAACTTTCTTTAGTCGACCCAGTAACAGTCTCGGATGATGAAATTCCAACACTTTGCATGTTTCATTGTTGCTCGCATGAATATAACCGACCAAAATGTTAGTTAAATGTAACAGAAAATTTTGCGTTATCTCTGAAACAAATAAGAATAATGGTAATAAATTGGTGAATACAAAATTATGATCCACTAATTTATTTTATTTTATTCAACATTAATGATTTTATTCGAAATTTAAATGTTGGTATTGATTTTACGTCAACACTTTTTATTTGTTCAGATAGTCTGAAAATTGGATCGTGATTTTAATTAAAACTTTATCAATAATATTTTCATTTATATATATATATATATATATATATATATATATATATATATATATATATATATAACTACAAGTGAAAAGTTCAGAATCGGTGTTTAAAATGACATAAGATTCCATAAATATAAAAATCTGTACAAACTTTTTTTAGTGGAAACATTTTTTTCAACCAAGACATTACTTTTTAAACCAAAATCATCGCAATCACCAACTGGTAGCAAATCTGATAATTTAAAATAATTAATTATTGTGAATATTTCCAATTGTCCATCAGACGAGTTTTCATCAAATCACCATAGTAGTACAAATCCTTCAAATCAGAAAAAGCCTCCATCTTTCTTTCTGGCTCCCCACTTTTGAATGCTTTCACTATTGCATCAATTTTTGATTCATTTTGTCCCATTTTGTGACTTATTTTTTCCAACGTTTTCAGGAAATATGTTGCCTTACAATTAACGCATACGGTTGTGTCCTTTTATATAAGTTCACGGCGTAATGCGCATATACAATGTAGTATATCCCTTAACATACCAAGCCAATGTCATCAACATTGTTTACCAAGCTGGGGTCCTCAAGGGACCCCAATTATTTTTTGATATTTCTCAGTTATTTGATGATTATTGGGTGTTTTAAGATATTTTTTAGTAAAACAAGTATTCTGAGCATAATTGATTTATCTTTTCATCAATTATTCAAAATTTTCATCCGTTTAAAATAATATAATGAAAAATTTATTATAATAAAAATAGGTAAATGTTATGTATGTATATATTATATTTATAAATTTATATATATCAATCATTGGTTGCTATCCCTGCAATCCTTGGCGCATGTCAGTGGTGATTGTCTTCCTGTGTGTTTCACAGACAAAACGTTTACATTCTCCACACACAGACTGTGTTAACTTTTTTGTCTTTGTTTCTGGGACAGTAGGAACATCTTCCCCTTTTGATCTGCTGCTGCCTTGATGCTGATGGTATATTTTGGGTTGTAGTGTTGCGTGCTACAACTACTCCTGCAGCTTCAATTGCTTTGACAACTGGAAGGTGGAGACCATTTAGATTGGTTGCCCTACGTAGAATGTTGGGTTTGGTCAGTTCTTTGCCTAATTCTAACAAAAATTGATATCTAATATTCTTCATATGTCTATTCCAGTCATTGTTTTTCGACATCCAAATTATGAAGGCATTCAGGGCACCAATATCGAGCATATTCATGAAAAGTCTTAGAGGCCATCTTGAGGTTCGTCTAGCACAAGAATATTCTCTAACCAATTTATCTGCATTGTCCACTCCACCCTTAGTATTATTGTATTCCAGTATCATGTTGGGCTTCCTGTGACTTTCAGAGGATACTGAATTATCTAGAGATTGAGTTGAGAGTAAACGGACTGTTTTGTTTTTCTTTGGGACATAGCTAACTACCGCTACCCCGTTAGAAAATATAAATTTTGATGAAAGTATGTCTCGTCCTCTTGCATTTTCTATAACTGCAGGAATATCAGTTTTTTTAGCTCTCAATGTTCCTGTCATGGTGATGCTTTTTTGCAGCAAAAATTCTGCAGTCTTCACGGATGTAAAAAAAAATTGTCTGTAGTGACACCTCTTTCAGATCCACCAAGTCACATACTACGCGGTGTCCTAAATTTTTCTCTGAAGCTTTCCAGTGTAGACTTGTAAGTTGTACAAATATGAAGGCCACCCATATTTTTATTCCGTATTTTGCTGGTTTTGATTTCATGTACTGCCTCATCGGACATTTGGCGTAAAAAGCGTTTGGCAATTTATTACAAACCAATCCCAAACTTCACGAATAGCTGCAAGTTTATCAGTTGTTCTACTTTGAGCACGTGGTAATTTGTCGTCAAACCTGATAAATTGAAGGATGAGTGCAAATCTGTTTCATGCCATGGCAGCAGTAAAAACAGCACGACGAATATATATCTGTCGTCCACATTTCAGAAATATTTTCCTTTCTACAGCGAAGAGCTCCAGCAATCAGCAGAACACCAAAAAATGCTTTTATTTCAACAGGGTCTACATCTGTCCAAGCTTTCTGTTTATTCGAATCAGCAGTTGCATTGAAATCATTAATAACTCTAGAAGCTTTAGCATTGGTGAAGGTGCATATAGCATCCACAATTCGGTTGTCAAAGAACCAGTTGAAAATTTGAAAATTTCAGATATCGTCGATGCAACATTAATTGCGCGTGTTGGCCCGGGTGATCCCTTGACAATGTTATATTGACGACGGCGAGATGATGGTGGCACAGAACTTGTCCATCTTCTACCTGATTTTATTGTGAATTCATCTTCATCCGAATTTGTATCCGAATTTTCACTAGCACTGTCACTATATTCAAAATTTACTTCAAGATTGTCCTCCAATTCGGATGCATCTCCTGCTGGTATAAATTCTTCATCAGATTGTTCCAATACATCTTCCGGGTCACTGTCACTGATTTCACATTCATCTAACATTCGGAGAATCTCATCTGTAGTTTGTCTACGAGCCATTTTTCTTATTTTCAAACGTTTACGTTTATATTTTATGTTATCAAAATCTTTACAGCAAATTATAAACTTTATTTGAAACAGAAAATAATAATTTTCAACGGAAGTTTTGCAAATGGAGGACAAATTAAAAGTAAGTAAGATGAGCAAATATTCAGTAAGAATGCAGAATAATACTTTTTAATACTGAAACCTTTAAAATGTGTCTACGATTTCAGCCATAAGTGTTAAAAAACAAAAACACAATCGGTAACATAGTGTACCAAGCGGGGTCCTGCTTTTTTATTTTTTTTACTGTTTTTGAAATAACGTATAATAAAAACAACAATGGAATATTTATTGCTACCCTAATCGAGAGGAATAGAAAAATCGTGGTGGAATTTGTTTGGTTACTTTTGACAGGGTTAAGGAAAACTACTCTCTGGGGTCCTTGAAGGACCCCCCTTGGTATGTTAAGGGATATATATATATATATAGTAGTATATATATATATATATATATATATATATATATATATATATATATATATATATATATATATATATATATATATATATATATATATATATATATATATATATATATGATATATATATATATATATATATATATATA